GAGCCAGGACTGTCCCCCACGTCACAGGCTGACTGTCCCTTCTTCAATCATGAAGAATATCCCAGAACATCCTAATTAGGAGTGGGCTCTGAGGCCAGAGTACCTAAATGTGGATCCCGGCTAAATGACCATGAACCAGTTAGCCTCTCCGGGCCTCAGTGTCCTCATCTGTAAAATGGGGATAGCCACCTCCGCCCTGAGATTAAATGAACAACAGCTAATGCTCTAAGGCAGCGGTTCTCAACCTGTGGGTCGCGACCCCTTTGGCGGTCGAACGACCCTTTCACAGGGGTCGCCTAAGACCATCCTGCATATCAGATATTTACATTACGATTCATAACAGTAGCAACGTTACAGTTATGAAGTAGCAACGAAAATAATTTTATGGTTGGGTCACAACATGAGCAACTGTATTTAAAGGGCCAGAAGGTTGAGAACCACTGCTTAAGGCATCTATGTGACTGAGTCTGTTCTGAGTACTTAAGACCTGGAAAGACTTTAAAATAGTGCTGGGCACAGAGAAGCATTCGGTCAGGGTTGTGTTATCAACCCTTGAGGCCTTGTGTTCCCCCACCTCCTCAAAGCCCTTTTCACCACAATAAACCGACCTCACTTCCTCTCGGCTCCTAGCACTTCCTCATCCATGCAGGTCACATCACTCTTTGACCTGCGTCTTGTAAAATTTTTGTCTCTTCTCTCCTCTAAATCTGATCCTGGAGGACAGAGTCCTGGGCTTGTTGGATGTTTTCCCCTCTGTGGCGGGCACTAGCCCAAGCCAGGGGAGCAGCTAAGTTAGGGAAGCATAATCCTGCCGCGAGGGTGGACCATGCAGTGCTCTGTCCCCCGCCCCAGCTCTGGCTCGTTGGCCGTGTCCTGGGGCTCCCTACTTGCCAGCATTGTCAGGTGCACCGGGACCCTTGGCTGAGTCCTAATGATCACCTCTTCCTCCTCAGAGTGGAGTCTATGTCCCTGGCTGACAGAGGGAACCCTGGAAATATTACTTCACGTTTGGTGGAGAAGGAGAAGGCCAGGGATTGCCTGATTCCCATGGGGTGAGTGTGCACCTGTTACGTGTGCCGTGTCCCTCAGCTCCCTACCTGGCCTGGAGCAGGGGCTCGGGAACTTGGATCATCTTGCAGCAGATGCTGCCAACCCTGGCCTGCTTCCGGCTTGGTCTGCTCTGCAGGGACTTGGGACAGGACTCGATGCTGCCCTTTCTTGCACCCCCAGGCCCTCTCTGTGCCTCTGGGTTTCCAAACATGGCCTAGCCTGTTCCTCCCTCCCTGGGGGTTCAGTCACGAGGGATGATGCAGCTGCACCCAATGCCTTGGAAAATTAGAAAGATGAGGAACTAGGAAGCTTTGGTTACTGGACATGCTGGTGAGGGAACTTGGGCCCAGCAGATGCAACATGGCAAGCGTGCTGTCTGCCCAGCATGTTGTTAGCTCTGCTGAGAGCTTCTGGGCCACTCAGAGTCTGTGGGCAGGGAATCCTGGCTCCACCTGAAGCTCAGAGAGGGCAGTGCTCGGGCTGCCTCCACACCCAGGGACCCTGTCTCCAAGAGAAGCCCCTCAAGCCAGAAGGCCTCCCTGTGGCTCTGGGTTCCTTTGGGTTCCCAGGATGAAGGTGGGCTCCACCTACAGTGAGCAGGAAGCTGGGGTGTGATCTTTCCAGAGGGGACGTGGGAGTCCTCATCTCCCACATTAAAGCCATCTTCCTGAGGCGCAGGAGGAGCGGGCCAAGAGCCCCCAGTAGTGCCCCTCCCAGGCCCTCATCTGCCCCTCTTCTCTTCTGGTCTCTGGTGTTCGAGCTTCTTAGGGCCTGAGTGACTCCCTGTCTGTGCCCCTACACTCCCCGAGTCATCATTACTGCCTCTGTGGCACGGACCGGCCTTCCTGTCCTCGCGGTGCTGGGTTCCACCGCCAGGCCAGTCCCAGCTGCCAGACTCACCCACACTGCTGCTCTCTGTCTCCTAGGATAACCTCGGAGAATGTAGCCGAGCGGTTTGGCATTTCTCGGGAGAAGCAGGATACCTTTGCACTGGCTTCCCAGCAAAAGTGAGTGCTGCGTGGGGTGGAGTGTTTAAAGGCTGACCTAAGTGGTTTCAGGGGAGGCTGTCCGTAGACCAGCTACAGGGCAGCGAGTGGTTTCCACGTCGCATGCCTTGCAGGAGGGAGAGGGGGCAAGAGCCAGGGCCAGTGTGCATTCCTAGCACTTCCACATCCTGCTATTGTCTGTTCACCCTGGGTGTCTCCTTCCTACTGGGCCTCAGTTTCCCCATCTGTTCATTTGAGGTGGGGGGGGATGTAATGAGGGTCAGGACTCTTCTCTAACTGCTGTGCTTCGGTGATTGGACATGGTAGCCACAGGCTCCTCTGGGTAGCCTGAGTGTGGGGCCAGCATTGCTGGGACCGGGGCATCCCAGCTTCTGGACCTGAGGCAGGGGCTGGGGGTGACAGAAGAACCCCAGGACTTGGGGCTCTGGGCAGGGGCAGGCTGAAGCTGGCAAGCCCCAGCTGCCCAGGGAGAGGACAGCAAAACGGGGGAGTCACATCTGGCCAGGCGGGCTTCTCTGAGGCAGTGGTTCTTAGCCACTTGGGGTCAAGTAACCATTTGAGAATTTGGTGAGAGCTATGGATTTCTCCCAGGGGACTGCCCTGGGCACTTGCATTTTGCCTGTGATTGTAAGCATGATCCTAAAATAGGGGACAGATTAAACCGAGCCATTCTGATCAAACAGAAAAGTTGGCAGAATCCAGCACAGATTCCCTGGGGCTCCATTCTTGCTTTGGCATAGAGAGCTGAGCAGGCTCAGTCCCTCGTGGCTGTCACCTAAACGGAGAGCCCCCGCCCCATACTTTCTTCCCTTCGAGGTTGGGATTGGCCAGGATCTAAAGATCTGAGGTCAGTGGTGAAGAAGGGCCCATAAGGCCTTGGGCCTCCCAGCCCCAGGTTGGGGTAGTGGGGAACCCACACCAGTCCCTCAGAGCTCCCCAAGGCAGGGGTGTCCCAGCATCTAGCATTCTGAGCTGCGTGTCGGCCCCAGTGGGGAGGAAGTGGAGGCAGCAGAGGGACCCCAGGAAGGAAGGGAGCCTCACTGTCCATGGTGCTCCTCACGCAGGGCAGCCAGAGCCCAGAGCAAGGGCTGTTTCCAAGCTGAGATTGTGCCTGTGACCACCACGGTCCATGATGACAAGGGCACCGAGAGGAGGGTCACCGTGGCCCAGGATGAGGGCATCCGCCCCAACACCACCATGGAGGGCCTGGCCAAACTGAAGCCTGCCTTCAAGGAGGGCGGCTCCACCACTGCTGGTGAGACTGGGCTGGGGCACATCCATGCTGGATGTATTCTGGGAGCCTGAACCACCTGATAGGGTGGGCGTGGGGGCGCTGGGCGTCCTTAGACCTGCTCTGGGGCCTCCTTACCCCTAATGGTTTGCTTCTAGGAAACTCTAGCCAAGTGAGCGATGGGGCAGCTGCCATCCTGCTGGCCCGGAGGTCCAAGGCAGAAGAGTTGGGCCTTCCCATCCTTGGGATCCTGAGGTCCTATGCCGTGGTTGGGGTCCCGCCTGACATCATGGGCATTGGACCTGCCTATGCCATCCCTGAAGCTTTGAAAAAAGCAGGTAGGCGGCTCCTTCATGCCCTCGGTCTGGATCCCACTTCTGCGCCTCAGGCTGATGCCGGAGGGCGGTGGTCCTGTGGGTGCTGCAGAGTGAAGGTGGGACAGACTAGCACCCCTGCCAGAGCCTTTCCTGACCACACAGCTGGGACCCACTCCTTCATCTGGAACAGAGACAGACACACCAGGCAGCCTAAGGCCAGGGATGGGGTGGGACCTCGCGAGACTGAGTCCTGTGAGGGTCAGGGGCCACTGGGTCAGCTCAGGCCTTTCCGCCTTTGCCTGCAGGGCTGACGGTGCATGACGTGGACATCTTTGAGATCAATGAGGCCTTTGCCAGCCAGGTGAGCCTCTGTTTCTCCACATTGCCTGGGCCCTCGGCAGCCCAGTTGGAGCCAAGGGTGCCGGGGACGGGAAGGAGTGATAGCTGATGATCTGCCTCCTCTCAGGCTGTCTACTGCATGGAGAAGCTAGGACTGCCCCCTGAGAAGGTGAACCCTCTGGGGGGTGCCGTGGCCTTGGGCCACCCCCTGGGCTGCACTGGGGCTCGACAAGTCATTACGCTGCTCAACGAGCTGAAGCGCCGTGGGAAGAGGTGAGGCCGACTCTCCATGGGGGTGTCATGGGGGATCCCCAAGCTGGGCACCCGAGGGGAGTCGGGGGAAGTATACTTGCACACACTCTGAAATAAGGATGCAGGGCTGTGACCCCGTTTTCCATGAGAGACACCTGCCATGTGTGTGCCTAGGTGGGCAGTTGGGGAATTCCATACCCACAGCTTCCATCCTCTGTGCCCATGAACGACTTGGTCTGCCCAGCTCTGCCTGGTCTGGAGAGAGCTTGGTGGGGCTTCTGCCCTTTCTGCCCTCACCCAGCCAACACGGCGTTCCTTCCACAGGGCGTATGGGGTGGTGTCCATGTGCATTGGGACCGGAATGGGAGCCGCTGCTGTCTTTGAATACCCTGGAAACTGAACGAGGCGCTGCCCACTCTGTTGGAGGCAAGAAAGCAACACTACAGAAGTGACGCCACGTGGGAAAATTCGGCGTGGTGGTTGTGGCGGCAGTGGGCAAATCGAGGCCCTTCAGCTAATTTGGAAACCGTGACCACTGAGGACACAGTACAGGAGGGAATGAGGTACTGGGTCACCCAGGCCACAAGGCCACCATGTAATTCCTGGGGAAGGGGCCTTTGGATGAGGAGTGCAATAGACATAGTAAATGTATGTCAGCTTCTTAGCATGTTTGTCTGGCCTCGGCTCAGTCCGAGTACTGATTCTTAACCACCACGGTCTGCACAGTGAGGTGGCCTCAGAGGACAGACGTGCAGGACCTGGGCTGAGACCAGCACCCTCCATCCAGGAGCTGCTCAGGGGTCCTCCAGCGTGTGCCCTGCACAGCACACCTGTCCTGAGCTCTGGGCCATGTTTATTTCCATGTTGGCTGGGGGCGCGGTGGCTCTGAGGGCGGAGCCTCAGAGCTGGTAGGGCGGCACAAATCTCTCATCGTAAGAGCCTCGGCCCCGGAGCCGCAGGGTGCAGGCCTTCTCGCCGAGCATGCCTTCCACCACCAGCGTGGACTCGTACAGCTCATTGCTCCTGTGGGCCGCAGGGGACTGAGGTGAGGAAGGAGTTCCGGCCTTGGCAGTGCCGGGGGCTGGGCGGGGCTGTACCTGGCGGTGAAGAGAACCTGCAGGATGATGGAGGTGGGAGGCCCGTTGACAGATCGTGCCTCCAGCAGCCCACTGCTCGGGGAGACCCTGAAGGCCGCAGGCTCCTTGTCCAGCTCCTTCTGGCCTGCACCGCGGGGAAGGGGGCACATACGTGGGCAGGCGGCTACATGCACTGCCCCAGGAAGTCCCCTCCCTGCAGAAAACCCCAGGTGGTGTCAGCCACCTTCCTGGGGTCCCGGCCCAGCTGCGCAGGGGAGCAGTGGGCAGGAAGGACAGCATGGCATACCCATCAGCACAGTCCAGTAGCTCCGGCAGCCACTCAGGTTCATCAGGTAGATCTCCCGGACTCGCTCCTGGTTCACAAAGCAGGTCCCGAAATCCACCCAGCTGGTGGAGAGCTGCAGCTCGGGCACCACCACAGTGGCCCGCAGGGGCACCACCTATGGGGACAGAGCCGTTAACTTGATGGGGACCAGGTGACTTTGCCACTCCCGGTGGGCTCTGAGCCAGCGTCTCGGGGACACACGAACCCTGCTGACCCCAAGTACTGACACTTCTGGGGAGCACACAGGCAGCACAGGGAGGTGGGTGGGGCCGGTGCTGCCATCTAAAGCCCGAAGCTGCTGGTGGGCTTCTGCACAGTGGGCCAGGAAGGCGCCCTCTGCTCCCCCTGCCACCCTTGTCCTGGTCAAGCTCTGTGGCTTCTGCTCCTTGGTCCAGTGCATCCTGCCTTCCGCCCTGCTCCCTCGGGGGCTCCAAGACCCAGCCCTGTTTTCCTTGGGCCCTAGGTCATCTCCCCCTTTCCCTTGACATCGGGCCCTGCCTGTGGAGTGCCCTAGCTCCTGACAGCCCCTTTGCCACCACTTCACCCTCAGGCACTGCCAGCCCACCTCCTCACCTCGGCCTCCCCTGCCCCTGGCTCCAGTGCTCAGATCCTCCTGGCCTCTCTGGAATCCACCTCTCAGGCCAGACCATTCCTTCACGTTCCCGATGGGTTCCTACCTGCCTGGGCCCCTCCAGCTCAGCGCCACACCACAGCCCGTGATCTGTCACAGTCCACAGAACTAGGCCTGTGGTACTCACTCTGGTGCTCAGCCCCACACGAGCCTGAGAATCTGTCCCTCAGGAGCTCACTGTTCCCACCCATCAGGCCATTCCCTCGGCCTGACTTTCAATGTGGTTCCCTTTTCATTAAACAGTAATGAAATGGGAGGCTTCACTGCCACCTCCTGCAGGAAGCCTTCCCTGATTTTTCACTTATAGCACCTCACCTGGCTCTGAGCTCCTGAGACAAGCAAGGATGAATGACCCTCATCTCTCCCTGGCAAGGCCTCTTCCAAGACTGGGTCCTCAGTAAGGACTTGGGCTCCTCTCATTTCTGAGGGCCCTGTCAGGGTTTGTCTTCCTCTGACCCCACCAGAACAGCGTGGGGCAGGCCTGGGACTCACCTGGGTGGTCTGGTTGGCATACTCCAGGAGCAGATTCTGGGTAAACACCATCTCTTTCTCTCCACTCCCGCTCTGCCGAATGTCCACTCCGGGCAGCATCTGGTCAGCCGGGAGCTTCTGATAGGAGAGCAGCTCCAGGGAGAGCGAGAAGGACACGTCCACCTGACAGACAAGGTCCAGCCGTCACCTGAGGCTGCTGAAGGCAGGCGACGGCTTCTGTCCTGCCCTCCCTCCCACGGCCCCTGCAGGCCCCACCAGGCCCCGCTCAGACGCAGCACAGCCTGCAGGGCTCCGGCTGACCCGGCCCTGCCCTGCCCAGCAAAGAGCCCAGGCGTGCGCTTCCCCACCCCCACCCAGAGCCCAGTCAGACACTGCATCCCACAGACACTATCTGCCCTGCTCTGCCCAGCACCCGTCACTACCCGATGAGGCTGTGCCTGCCCCTAGGAGCGGAGGGGCCAGAGGCGAGACTACGGCAAACCGTCCTTGACGCCCTCACGTGAGCCTAGGCAAGGCCCGGGTCTCTCCCGAGGACAGGGAGGAGCCTCTGATGGGTTTTAAGCAGGGGACGTCCCGTTCAGCGTTGCCTTCCTCAGAGGCCACTGGCTGCTGCGGGAAGGTGGGCTGGGGGAGCTGGTGGGAGAGAGGACTTGAGGGGCCAAGGTGCAATTGGGCCCAGTCGTCAGAATGAACGGAGGCACTTGTTAAAAGTACAGGTTCTTTCTCATCGCTGCAGCTGGGCCTGGGGTCTGTTTCTCACAAGCTCTCTAAAGGCCACTGGTGTGTCGCCCGGCTTGGAAACCACTGTCCTAGACCAAGACATGGGTGTGGGAGGAAGAGTAGGGCGATGTGCTGAGAGGCCGAGGAGAGGGCAGCAGCAGGGCTGGGTTGGTGATACTTGCCGAGATAAAACGCCACGGCTGAGAGGAGGCGCGCTGTGGGCAGGGCTGGGTGTGGACAGGTGGTGTGTGGGAGGGAATTCTGGGCAGGAGTCGGGCGGGGCACTGCAGCACGGGGCTGGCGCTCGTTACACCCTCACTGAAGTACACGTTTTGAAAGAAGCTCTGGATGTGGCTGAGGTGACCCAGGAGAGTGCAGAGTGAGGCGGGCGAGGGCCCAAGCCCCTCAGAGGACAGGAGGAAGGAGCCTCTGAAGCAGGAGGGGGTTGGGGGAGAGGGCGGGGCGCCCAGCCTGGCTGGCTGTCCTTGCCTCGCAGCACACACCTGGGAGCCCACAGTGAAGAGGGGGTGCACTCAGGTGGCCTGTGACCTGTCCTCGTTCCACGTGCCTCAGAAACCGAAGGAGGCGGCCGTTCGTGGTTCCCACCGCCTGGCACTCCCAGGACCACCCCGCCTCCCAACTGCAAATCCAGGGTTCTGTTGTCGCAGAAGAGGGAAGGTCACCTTGGGCCTGGGCAGATGGCAATCAAACTGAACTCACCTGAGTGAGGGCATGTGGGAAGGGGGAGGCTGTGTGCAAAGTGGTGCTGGTGGGAATGTTCGGCCGTGACCGGGGTGCTGGCAGGGGGGCTGAGAGGGGTCTGCTTGCCTGGGACTTGCGTTGTGTTCACACTGGGACGTCTGGTCCTACCTGCATGTGTGAGCACCTGTGCAGAGGGCCCGTGTTTGCCGGCAGTGGTGTGTCCAGTGGGAGTGCACTCCTGAGTGCCCAGGGCATGGGCTGAGGGGTCAAGCGTGTGGTTTGGACACAAATGTCTGTGTGTGTGTCTACGTACAAACGTGTGAGGTGTGTTGTCTGCACACACGTGTGCATGTATGAGAGAGGAAGGTGACTGCCCAGGGGAGTGTGCCCATCGAGGCTGAGGACCCCAGGACCCTCCACTGACCAGCATGTTCTCCTGCGGGTGGAGCACCAGCTGCCTGCCGGCTGCGGCCGACCCCTCCTCACCCTCCTGCTCCTGGCCAGCGCCAGGAGCCCCGTGGCCGCGGCTAGCTCCATCTGGAGAAACGGAGAAGGGCCTGGAGACCAGGAGCCAGAAGTAGTGCGGGATGTCCGTGGTGTTGGTCAGCTTCAGGTGGTGGGTGGTCACCAGCTCACTCAGCACCTGGGTGGGCACAGAGGGGAGCTGGGCTGCATCTCCCGCGCCTCAGGCCCATGGCTCTGGGGTGGGGGTGGGGCTGGGGTGGGGGTGCTGGGCCTCAGAAGGGCCTGCGGGGACATGTGAGGTCTAGATAAATGGGCAGGGCAGAGGGGGCAGCACACTCACCCCAGCACAGGGCTGCTCGGGGATGAGGTCACTGGCCTGGAGCCGGAAGTGCGTGCCGCCGCCGTAGTCCAGCTCCACGCTTAGCCTGCAGCAACAGGCATGGCGGGGCCGCGCTGGGCCTCTGGGGCCTCCTGGCAGCCCCCACTCTGCTTGGCCAGCCTTTACCTGGGCTCACCTGCTGGCTGCTCCCCCCCCCCCCCGACTTCCATGGTCTTGCTCCCAGAACCCTGTCTGGTCCCCACCGGTGCCGGGGAAGGGAGCTCTCCACGGGGAAGGGAGGGAGGCCGGGCAGCCCAGCGGACTCACTGTGCGGGCCTCACGAAGCCCTGCAGGTCCAGCCTCAGGGGTCCCACGGCCAAGTCCTGCAGGCGCCGCCGCCTCCCTGGAAGCTCCCTTTCCACCTACCGAGCCCAGGCCTGATCACTGGCGGTCGCTGGGCTGAGCAGGCAGTGGCTGTGGCCCCACCCCAGGCCAGGAGGGCTCACCTTGCTGTCCAAGCTCATGAAGCCCAGGGCGTAGCCAGCACACTCCACCTTGTGCAGCACGTGGGGGCCGAGGACCATGGGCGTGAAGGAGATGGAGATGGCTCTGCTGCCCCCGGCAGGGACCACCTGGCACGGGCACGCAGGCTCAGTGCTGCTTGGTGCCACCGTCTGGCCAGGGGGCACTTTTCGAGGCAGCTCCCAGCCCAGCCCCAACTCACCACCTGCTTGGGGCTGATGCGGTACAGGTGGTCCGAGGGCACCCCCTCGTGCTCCTGCAGGACAACCGAGATGATGTGCTTGGCCCTGTCGCTGGCGCTGGCGCTGGCGCTGCTCTCGGCCTGTCGTCAAGATGTTGCTGAGGCTCACACAGGCTCCAGGCCTATTGGCACCGCTCCCCCTCCCCCCCCACCTCCGGCCCACCCAACTGTGCTCACAGAATGGGCCTCTTCTGGGCTGGAGGACGACTCCTTAGAGACACTTGGGGACTGGGAGGAGCTGCTGCTCTCCTGGGTCTCGGGGCACAGGACCTCGCGTCCGTCTTGGTCCCGCAGCGGGAAAGGGGGCCCGTAAAACACCAGCAGCTCCAGCAGCTGGTCCTCCCTCTCGTCCGGCACGTAGGTCTCCCAGTCCAGGCGGATGTCTGGGGCAGGTGTGGGGAGGGGTGAGGAGGAGGGACAGGCAGTTGCGTCTTCCCACGCCCCCCGCCTCCCTGCAGCCCCTCCAAGGCGGCCTGTGACCCCACTCAGCGTGGGGCCTCGCTTCCTCTTTCCTGCCACTTCCGGGCAATGTTTCTGGGATTAAAAAAAAAAATCTACAGGTTTATACCCTCCTGCTCTATCCGGCTTCTCCCGGCCCGTCTTCCCTCCCAGCCTGGCCCACCACCCCGCACAAACTGTAACGGGAACCCCACTTTCTCTCGTCAGTGTCTCACCACAGGGGCTGGAGTTATTCAGGCGCAGGACACGGGTGACTGTCTCTCCTCCAGAGACCTGGGTGCTGAACCTGGAGGCAGGAGACGAGGCTCAGCACAGCCCCGAGCAGCACACGGGGAGCTGGGGTAGAGGCGCAGGCAGGGAGGCGGCCCCACAGGGGTCTGTCTTCATCCTGGACTCACCGAGACCAGGCAGTGCCTGGTGAACTTGACCCAGGGCTGCTCACTGCCCCAGTAACACTCCTCCCCTCTCCCTACAACTACCCTGACAGCCCATCCCACCGCAGTTGGCATGGGGGGCCCCGGCCACGCGGACTTCAGGCCACACTGACTACTCATTGCTACTGTCCCCAGTAGCTGTCTGAGTTGTCCCCTGAGGCCTCTCCCCTCCAGGGCAACCCTGTCCTGGGGCTTCCTTGCTGGGTGGCACCAAGTGGCCCCGGGAAAGCCGCTCAGGCTGGAGCCGGAGGGTCTCTAGGGGGCGGAGAACAGGGCGGCGTGGGCACCTGAGGACAGGCTCCTTCTGGAACTGGGCAGCGCTGTAGTTGGTCCTCAGAGAGCTGATGGGGCAGCCCACCACCACCATGTGCACCGGGATGACCGAGGGCGGCAGGTCTCCCACCTGCAAACACACGCCAATCCTTGTCCCTTGTCGCCCGCTGCCACCACCTTTCCCGGCTCCCCGTTCCCTTCAATGCATAGCCTGTCCTTCTCCAGCCAGCCCAGGGCCTCCACGGTTGGCCCAGCAGGGCCTGGCCTCGCTCCTCACTGGTGGATGCTCACCCCGCACACCCCAAGGCCAGTTCCCTGCCCGTCCACCTGCTGTCCCGCCCGCCCAGCGCCATCCCCCCGCCCTCCGACCTGCACAGGACTCCCAGCCTAGCCATCTTTCACCTCTTACAGCCCCTTTCGTCAAATGTCTGTATCTTTTAAATGGAAATAACTATTATTTCTCTCTGCTAATAAAAAGTAAAAAATGTTTTTAATTTCCCCTAGCCGGTTTGACTCAGTGGATAGAGCATCAGCCTGCGGACTGAAGGGTCCCAGGTTTGATTCTGGTCAAGGGCACACGCCCCGGTTGCAGACAGCTGATCAATGATTCCCTCTCATCATTGGTGTTCCTCTCTCTCTCCCCCTCGCCCTCCCTCTCTGAAATCAATAAAAATCTATTAAAAATGTTTTAAAAACACAGTATGATAATCACTCACAATCCTTCGCCCCCAGCATGACTCACTGTCAACATTTTCATGTACAACTGTCTGGACAGACTTCTTTTGTGCACATGAAACAGGTATAAATGAGGAGCATACGGCATCTCTTTTCGTGACATAGAATTTTACTAATGAAGGTTTACAGCATCATATAAGGGTTGTGCAGAGTTCCATCGGATGGATGGAGCCCACATTTTTTAAAAAAATATATTTTATTGATTTTTTACAGAGAGGAAGGGAGAGGGATAGAGAGTTAGAAACATCGATCAGCTGCCTTCTGCATACTCCCTACTGGGGATGTGCCCACAACCAAGGTACATGCCCTTGACCAGAATCGAACCTGGGACCCTTGAGTCTGCAGGCCGACGCTCTATCCACTGAGCCAAACCGGTTAGGGGAAATTAAAAACATTTAACCAAACCTTCTACCGACAGACATGGATGCTTAGGATGTTTCCTTCCTCTCCCCACTCTCCATTTATAAATGATGCTGAGAAGAAAAAGTAACCTGGCACCAAGTTATTTGTTCATTAATGCCCACCCCCTACTCAAGGGTTTCTTCTCCGTGAGATTTGAGTCAAAGGGCCAGGTGTTGGGGAAGAGAGAGCCTGGAGGTGAGGGCGGGGTCAGGTTCCCCGCCCCGCAGGCCGTGAGCTGCCCACAAGCCGTACCTTGCAGATGAGGCTGTCCCAGTACTCGCCCCACATGTTCGCGCAGCCTGTGATGTCAACGCAGAGCTGCTGGTGGGCGTCCAGCTTGCCCTGGGAAACGTGGGGGAAGAAGGATGCTCCTTTCCCGTGAGACAACATGTTTTCCATGAACTCTGGGGGGTGGGAGGAGAACCAGGGAAGGGGATTCAGGACCCCAGGGAGGGGGGCTATGAGGTCCAAACCTCCAGGTGTTAGCAAAACACTGTACCAGGCAAGCCCCCCTCTCCCCTCCCCCCAATCTCTCCCTGGTCCAGCAAAACAGACCCTCCTTCTGGGATCCCAGGGGCCAGGGGCCAGGGGCCAGCCCCCAGGGGAGCCCTCCCTTCTGAGCCACCACCCATCCCAAATCAAATCCTGGGCCTGTGCCCAAGCCTAATGCCCTGACAAGGAGATGGCCTCACTCAACAGAAAGCTGCTGTCAGGTGGGGGGCCACAGCTGTCTCGGGACCTTGCTAGAAAAGACACTGAGCCCCAGCCGGTTTGGCTCAGTGGATAGCGTGTCGGCCTGTGGACTGAAGAGTCCCAGGTTCGATTCTGGTCAAGGGCACATGCCCAGGTGGCAGGCTTGAACTCCAGCAGGGGGCGTGCAGGAGGCAGCCGATCAATGATTCTCTCCCATCACTGATGTTTCTCTCTCTCCCTCTCCCTCTCTGAAATCAATAAAAATATATTAAAACAAAAAAGACACTGAGATGGTCAGGGTCCACATACTCAGGAAGCTGTGGACAATCCCGCTCTGGCCAGGCCTGGGCTCGGCGCCTGCCCCTGGGAGCTCTTACCCAGCTGCTCTCGCTTGGCCAACTGCTGGCGAATCCGATCCGTCTTCAGCAGGGCAGGGGACACATCGGGGCTTTACCAGGAGGACACAGGAATAGCCTCAGGCCATCCAGACCCTTCCTCAGACCTGAGCTGCTCCCCACTCCCCGCCCCCAGCAACCAGCATTGCAGGGGAGAGCTGGCCAGGTCTCTTCTTCACCTCCTTCTCTGGTCTTTGCTCCAGCTACACTCCCGCCACCCAAAGCTACCCACCAGCCCAGGGGCTGCCTCCCAATAAACTCGGTAAGGCTCTGGGGTGGGGACCCCTGGCCCCGTTTCTGTGCCTTGGCAACCCCTGGATATGAGCCCAACGCAGACACCCCGTCGTTTGCGCAGCTTTCTGCAAAGGCCCCTGTTTCCAGTCTTTCCTGCTGACATCTGTCCATTGAGCACACACTAATTTTTCTGGAGTGGGAGACTTAATGTTTTAGAAACTGTTAGTGGCCTCCCGCCGTCGGCAGCAGTGGTTTTAAAGTTGGGCTCCCCTGCGTTGGGCGATTTGGTGGAGAGGTGTTCGCAGTGGTGCGCTGGTAAACTGCCCATTGCTGTGGTGTAAATACTTCGTGGCTGATTTCAAGCTACAGATTTGCAGGATGCCTCACTGCCACATCTCTGCCCACACCGTTCCCTCCGCCTCCAGTAACTTCTCCCTCCTTCACTGGCCCGAATCAGAAGCCCTCCACTCAGCAGGCAGGCCAGGCTGAGGAGAAGGGGCCACCGTCCCGCCTCGCCACAGGCCCTCTCAGGGTGCGGGAGCCGGGCAGCAGGAACCATCTCCTCTCTGCGTTGCCCCAGGTCCACCTGTGAAAGCACGTCCCCCCGCTCCCCGCAGCCACCGGCCGCACAGAGGCCCATGGGGCCAACGCCACCTGGCCACCTCCTCCCCGGGGACTGCCCCTGAAAGAAACCAGACTTACATGCTGGGCTTCTGGCTCAGGCGTTTCAGAGGGCTCCCGAAGTACTTGAACTTGAGGGTGAAGAAGGTCTGGATCGGGGAGCGATTGGTCAGGACGAGCTGGCGATTCACGCAGGTCCTCAGTGGCACTGCCGGGCCGAAGTCCAGGCGGAGCTCCTCCGTGTGGCCGGGCTCTGTGCTGGGAACACTGCCCCGGGCCCGTGGGCACCAGGTCACACGCCACCCTTGGCCCTGCCCAGTGAGCCACTGTGGGAGGGGGCGCGAGCGCTGTCCAGCAACCAGGCGTCATCCTCGGACTCCCACCTCGTCAGGCTGCCACCCCACCGACATCTCCTTCTTGGCAGCCTAGGAGGCCAAGGGGGGCCTCAAATTTCACCGACTCTCCCTGGCCCGGGGCGGACTGGCTTGTCTCCCAGTTGCTGAGCCTCATGCAGGAGAGCTCAAGGTACCCACAGCCCTGCCCCTGCCCTCTCCTACCTGCCTGGACACCATGCCTCCAGCTATGGGGTGGGGGGGGGGGGGACCACAGAGGGGCGAGGATGGGATAGAGGGATCTGTCCCCACAGAGGTGGTTAGGGAGCCCCTTCCTGGCTGTAGGAACCCGCTGGGAGGAGGCTGGCACCAGGGGGCAATGCTACTCCTTCATATGGTCGCCTCAGCCCTCGGCCCCGGCCCCAGCCCTGGGCTCACCTTCTAGCGGCGCCCTCCGCAGGGATGGTGATGCTCACTTGCAGTCCCTGGGGTTTCCCAGAAATGCCCAGAACCAGCGGCTCCTTCATGCCTGACACAGTGCAAGGGAGGGCCAGATCGGTCAGCTCGTCCTGTAACAGAGCCACCGGGGGCACATTAGCACCGTCCGTCCCGGGGCTGGGCTCCGAAGGTCTCCCCAGCGCAGGTGGTGGCTGTGGGAGGCGCTCAACACGGAGGCCTTGACGTCTGTCCAGGCCCATGTCTGTGGGAGGCTCCCCAGCCCCCCAGTGAGCCACCACCCACAGGCCCCGCCTCAGCCCGCACCCTGCGCCCAGGCCTGGCCCTTCCTCAGGGCTCCTGGCTGTGCCAGCGCCAAGTATCTGGAGGTGCCCACACGAAAGGAGACCCTCCAGGTGGATGTCTGCAGAAGGGACACGTTTATTCTGATGGAACTGCTAGAAGCCAAGCCCTTCCTGTGCGGGTCGCTCCGGGCCAGGCCGGGGCGCATCTGTGTCACCCTAGAGCTCAGGCTCGGCTGTGTAAGAAAGGCCACTGCCCCCTTATGTGCCAGTGAGGAAGTGCGGCCTGGGTCTGCTCGCCTCGGAAGGACGAAGTTTCCTCTTCACAGGCCACCCTGATGGCTTTCCTGCGGGCCTCCGCACAGGAGAAAGCTGGGTCCCGCTTTCTAATATGTGGTTTGGTTTTTAATTGATTTCAGACAGAGGAAGGGAGAGGGGAGAGGGAGATAGAAACATCAATGATGAGAGAGAATCGTTCATCAGCTGCCTCCTGCACGCCCCCTACTGGAGGTCAAGCGGGCAACCTGGGCATGTGTCCTGACGGGGAATGGAATCAACCCTGACCTCCTGGTTCATGGGTCGATGCTCAACCACTGAGCCACACCGGCCGGGTGAAGCTGTGCCCTTCTTAGGAGACCTGGCTGCCAGCCAGCCTGCCAGCAATGCCAGCACAGGGCCTGCCGTGAGCGCAGCTCTGCTGTAGTCCTGGGGCAAATAGGAAAGACAGGCCCGCCTGTGGCCACAGAGAGCGGCCTGGGAGGGCTCAAGTCGGTGCCAGAGGCGAGATGTGCCAGTGGGTTTCAGGGCACATCCATTTCAGGCCTGCTGCAAGCTCTCTGACCTCGTGTCCCTAAAGAACGGGCCTAACAGGAATGGGGACCCCAAATACAAGAACTCTCTTCCCTACTCCCAAAGACCAGGCGTGGGCCTGAGCCCGCCTCCCTGTGGCACAGGCGCAGGCAGCTGCGGGTGCCTTCCAGTCCCGCGGCCCCTCCCCTCCCCGCTCACCTGGGTGTGAGCGGTCAGCTCCAGGGTGAGCTGGAACTCCTCACCGGGGCCCACTTTGCCACGTCTGGGGGAGACTTTTGCTTTGCAGAAGCTTGCTTGGTGCCCCAGGAGCTGGCGGACACAAGGGTGGGCCTGCTGTCAGGTGCTGGGCTCCCAGGATGGACCAGGGGTCCGGGCAGGGTGCTCAGCAGCTCTGCTGGAGGTGCGGATGGGGGGCCACAGCAGGACGGGAAGGCCGGGTGCTTACTGGTGGGGATGAACCCAGGTCCCTTCTCTTCTCCTTCCCCCCCCAGATGGCCCTGCCAAGGGTGGCCTGGGCTAAATGAACTGCCCTGGAAACAGGGTGATGGGGAGCAGAGAGCAGCTGCCCCTGAGGCACAGGAATATGGCCCATGTCCCCTGGCTGGCAGAGCAGCCTCCAGCAGCCCGTGGACAGTGCCTCAGCGGGGCTCCCAGCAGCTGCGTGGACCAGCACGGGCCAGGCGGTCTAGCTCTGTGCTCCTGAGACTCCTCAGGCAGGGAACTGGCCTTCCTTGAAGGCGAATCAAGGAAAAGCCAGACCAGATGTGCCACTCCTTTGAGGGGCCCAGCTTTTCTGGGCACTGTGGACAGAGGACGGGCTGTGGAGGGGAGGCTGAGCATCTGTTCTGGGGGTGCCTGAGGGGCCGTGTCTCCCTCCCCAGCGGCCTCCAGTGCCGAGGGCTCGCTCACCTTGCCCCAGTGGAACCGGGTGGGCAGGAGCGTGCCATTGATGAGTGTGATGTCTGCCTTCGTGGGCACGCCCAGGTAGAGGTTGTTGACCACCACCTGGCTGCTCTGAAGGTACATGTAGGGCTCCTGCACCTCGGCGTACACAGGGAGGTAGCTGGGACACGAGGAAACAAAAGGCATATTGATCAGAAAAAAAAGAAATAAAACTGTCCCCATTTGCAAAAGACACGACGGTCTATGTAGAAAATCCCAAGCAATCTATTTCTTTTTAAAAAAATATATTTTATTGATTTTTTGTTTTTACAGAGAGGAAGGGAGAGGGATAGAGAGTTAGAAACATCGATGAGCGAGAAACATCGATCAGCTGCCTCCTGCACATCTCCTACTGGGCATGTGCATGCCCTCGACCGGAATTGAACCTGGGACCCTTGAGTCTGCAGGCCGACACTCTATCCACTGAGCCAAACCAGCCAGGGCCCAAGGAATCTATTTCTTAAAAACTCCTAGAACTAACAAGGCAGCCAAGTTACAGGGAACAAAATCAACATACAAAAATCAATCACACTTTTATATGTTAACAGTGAACATGTGGAAACAGAAACTTAAAATTGCTCCAGAAATGAAAAAACTGAGGTATAAATCTAATAAAACATGCAGAGGATTTGTGTGTCAAACACAACAAAACATTGATGGAAGAAATTAATAAATGGAGGGACATGTGTGTTCATGGATGGGGAGAGTCGACATAGTAAAGGTGTCAATTCTCCCCAAATTGATGTACAGGTTTAACACATTTCCTGTCAAACTCCCAGCAAGGATTTTCTAGATATAAACAAACTGATTATAAAATGTAAATGGAAAGAAAAAAAGACACAGAATGACTAAAACAATTTTTTAAAAGAGCAATAAAATAGAAAATCACTCTCCTGGATGCTAAGACTTACTATAGATCTACAGTAATCACGATAGTGTGCTGTGAGTGAGGGATATAGGCCACCAACAATAATAAAAAGACCACCCTATATATATGTATATTTTTAAAAAGGGTGAAGATCTCAATAGCTAGTTCTCCAAAGAGGATATACAAATGGCCAATATGCACATAAAAGTTGCTAAACATCACTTGCCACCAGGAAAATGCAAATCAAATCCTCATGAAATATCACTTCACACACACTGGGGTGACTACCATTGAAAGACAGAGAGTAACAAATACTGAGGATGTGGAGAGGATAGAGAAGGATGGAGAGTGAGTTGTCCACTGTTAGATCTGCACCATTACATTATCTATATATATAAAAGCCTAAGTGACCGGCTGACCGGCCGACTTGCTGGTAGCTATGACGTATACTGATCACCAGGGGAAAGACACTCAACGCAGGAGCAGAAACCACAGGCATGGAAACATGGAACAGACTGACGAATCTCAGAGGGAAGCGGGGAGGGGAGTAGGTGGGAAGAGATTAACCAAAGATCTTATAGGCATACTAGAGGCCCGGTGCATGGATTCGTGCGGTGAGGTCCCTCAGCCTGGCCTGCAGGGATCAGGCCGAAACCGGCCGAGGGACTCCACCGGTGCACAAATCCGCACACACTATATGTAAAAATAAACATTAAAGAAATATAATGCTATTCCAATGAGAAAAAAGAAATAAAAGAAGGATGTGATCAGATCAGTTAAAACAGAGGAGAACAAAACTACTACTTAAGACCCCTGGGGGAGAAGGCCCTGTAGAATGAATGTGGGAAACAGCCAGGGGGGCGGTAACTGAAGGACTGTGGGAGATCAGTCAGCTAGTCCAGGGCCTCCAGCCCTGCACTCGCTCACACGACACACAGAAGACTGGCTGCAGCAGGATGTATCCCCCCAGAAGGATGGGGTGTGGGGTAGATCCTGCAGTAACCTTGGGCCTCTCAACTATCATGGAGGGAAAGCAACCAAACAGATAGAGCCTAGTCCTTCATGCCTATTTACGAATGAATGAATGGAATGACTTGTGTAGCTGGCCAGTGTGGGTTCCCCTTGCTGCTTGACTTGGCCTGTTTAACCCCTTTGACAAGGCCCCTTCCTCTTACGGGGTCAGGTAGCTCTGTCCTCTGAGGGTTCTCACCTGCACCCCGTGGGAGAGGAGTGCTCACAGCACACACCTACTACACCCACTGACTCAGGGAACACTGACACCATTAGCTCCTTATGCAAATCAACTTCCTCTTCCATTTAAAAACAGGAATGGGCAGCCAAGGATTACTAGACGTAGAAGGAAAACCAGTGAAGGAGAAGGACTCTAAACCAAAATCTGAGGAAACAAAAATTCATTTCCTTGGGGAAATGTAAGAGGCGGCTGCATCCATAAGATAATAACATGACTATAAAAAAAGCAAATGATCCAAGAACAAAAAAACTTGAGAGTTCAAAACATGGCTGTCAAAAGAAGGGCATCCATCAAATTAGTGAAATGCAAGGCCAAGGCCATCTCCCCGAACAAGAAGCAAAAACACCAAGAGGCGGAAAATATGAGAAAAATGGTTAAATTCATGCAATATAGGTCCAGCAAGGCTTCTTCTGAGACAGACCCTCCCCAGTCACAGGGGGTGGGCACATGACCCAAAGAGAACCAATCAGTGCCTACCGCCGGCGGAGAAAGCCAGCTTCATCTTTCACGGAGGTTAAGCTGGGAGTGTGTGAGCCTGGAGTTCTAAGTGGACCCCTTCCTCAGGGCAGAGTGGCCAAGGGCCCCTCTCCCTCAGGGGAGAGAAAGGCCAACAAAGAGAGAGGAGCAGAGCTGAGGGTTGGGGAGGGGTCGGGTGGGGTAGAGGGAAGGCTGGTGGGAATGAGAAAGAAGCAGAAGACCGGGCAGGGGGAAAGGCGGGAGCCCCTGCCGTCAGCCGGGCGGGGCTGCCCAGTCACACGCTCCCCTTTGTTGCCTAACGTGGTTGCATCCGTGTTTCCATCACCTGCGCCTGGAAAATTCTGATGAACACAAGGTCCTTTAAGAAGAAAGGTCAGGGATCGAGAAGGGAAGGAAATAAGCAAAACATAAAGGCGTTCACCCTGATGAGAAGACAGACTTAACCTTCATTCATAGTCAAGGTCCTCAGGGTGCCACGCGGGACCCGAGAGGAAAAGACGCACTCGGACCTGTGCTGTGACCGGGGAACAGCACACTCGAGCGAGACACTGCTGGTATTTACTCCCCCGTCAGATGGTCAGAGTATAAAACAATGAGTCCCTATCTGTCGCGGTGAGAGTGTGGGGCAGTGGGCAGCCTCATAGACTGCAAGTGGGAGTATAACACGGCACAGTATTTTTGGAGGATCCATAAAGGTTTAAAATGAGCATTTAAACATTTTCATGACGAAATACACGCTTCAAAATAATTTGGGAGGAGGCTGAGGCTGTGGATGACTCAATATTTGCAGTGATTGGATAATTACGAAGGTAGGTGCTGGGTACATGGGGGCTCATTATACGATTCCATTTTTGCATATTTAAGGAATTTTCTGGAAGGAAGGAAGGAAGGAATGTCACTAATAACCGTTGAAACCTTCGTGTGTTCCTCCCAGAACCAACGACATTCACTCATTTAAATAAGCCACTACTATTTTGTGTCTGTTCTCCTGTTGAATATTGACTGTTTCCAGTTTTTCACTATTATGAACAGTCGGGCCCTGAGAATTCCCATATGAGCACACGGCTGCCACTGCACATGGGTAAGTCTCTCCGGGAGTCACGGGGTAGGCACGTATTTTACCATAATGGGCATTTTCTGTAATTTCTGAATTTTATAGAATAAACATGTATTAACACCTTTAAATTCTGAAATGTCTACAGATAAAAATTACACATCACATATGCGAATAGACTAGGATTATGCAGAAAGTGTGTTGTAAGGGCCCCCCCCCCCCCTTACCTCCAGGGCCCGTTCACCACCTCCAGCACCAGGACCGTCTGCAGACACTGGGCCTGACGAGCCTCCAAGGTGATGTTCACCCTGCACTCCCCCAGAGGGTGCACCTCGCCGCCGGAGGGCTCAATGTCGAAAGGAGACACCTGATGGGGAGGTCAATCCGGAAGGATAAGGGGTGCGATCACTTGGAATTGCAGAACTTGGGGCTGGCCATGCCCAACCAGGGTCACCCCAAGCTGCCCCCAGCTCGTCAAAGAGCCACGCAGGATACAGAAGGCGGCAGGCGGGAGGGGGAACAGGGCTGCGCAAGAGTCTCAGGACTCAGAGGACAAAGACCGGGTCTCCAAGTAAAGGAGGAGGACCCCAGGCACCGGCCAAGATCTGAGGGGTAAAAGGCAGAGGGAGGCAATGGGGGGGATGGGGGGTGGGGGGGCAAGTGAACAGCAAGACAGGGGCCTCGGCAGGAAGCAGTCAGAGGAAGGTGCCTGCACCAAGCAGACCGGGCCAGAGGCTCACAGGCGCAGCGACAACCTGAGGCAGCTCCCAAGGACCTGCTGCCGCTGTGGGCGAAGAGTGCAGTGACCTAGGCCCGGCCAGTGTGCTCAGTGGTTGAGCATCAGCCCATGAACTAGGAGGTCACAGTTCAATTCCCGGGCTGCAGGCAGGCTCAATCCCCAGTAGGGGGCATGCAGGAGGCAGCCAGCAGATCAATGATTCTTTCTCCTCATTGATGTTTCTCTCTCTCTCTCTCCCCCTTCCTGTCTGAAATCAATAAAAATATATATTTTTTTAAAAAGAGTGGATGGCCGTAACCGGTTTGGCTCAGTGGATAGAGCGTCGGCCTGCGGACTGAGAGGTCCCGGGTTTGATTTCGGTCAAGGGCATGTACCTTGGTTGCGGGCATATCCCCAGTGGGCGGTGTGCAGGAGGCAGCTGATCGATGTTTCTCTCTCATCGATGTTTCTAACTCTCTATCTCTCTCCCTTCCTCTCTGCAAAAAATCAATAAAATATATTAAAAAAAAAAAGAGTGGATGGTTTACCGCTAACTGCCCAAGGACCGTGGCTTGGTCGTCTTCTGGATCGCGCATCATACAGTCAAGTGTGATGCCACAGTGTGAGTGTGGGGTGATGATACTTTGCCACCTTTAGTATTTTCTTATTTTACAGTAAAAAGAAAAGGGCTCTTGGAATGGAAATGAATCTTGAGTTCTCTCTTTTCGGAGACTTTCGTTTGGCGGAGGAGGAGCCCAGGCCCAAGCACCACCTGGTGGCAGGTATTCAAACTGCAGGCACACTCCCTGCCTGAGAAGTTGGGGACCCCGGGGTGAGCCCACCCAGCCGGCCCCTCCCTGGAGGCCTGGGGAGCTTCCTGCCCAGCCCAGCTCCCTATTATCTTCCTGACTCAGGCTGCTCTGACCGAGGGAGAAACCCAGGTCCTATTTCTGCATCCGACTGGCAGAGCAAGTAACAGGAAAATCCTGTTTGGGGTCAAGTTCTGCTGCAGAAAGGACCCGCCCGCTCGGAGATGGGGAGAACTGGGGCCGCTGCCAGGCGAACGTCACCAGGCAGCGTCTCCTCTCCCAGCCCCCACCCTCTGCAGGCCCAGCCCAGGATCCACCGGTGAAACAGGGCACAGGTGAGTCGGCCCCGACTTACATCCTCCTGCCTCTCCTCCAGGCAGACCGCGCTCTCCTTCAGGAGCCACGTGGCCGAGAGCGGGCTGGTGTTCTGGATGCGGACGCACTTGGTGGCCTTGTGCCCCAGGCGCAGCAACCCGAACTGCAGGGCCGAGACGCTGATGACGAGGGCCGGCCCCTGAGACACACGGGGCCCATCACTGGGAGTGGGCTCTGTGCCCCCGTTTGTCCCCCCACCCCCCCCCCACAAGCAAGGAAGTTTCTGAAAGGCTTAGCACTCCACCCAGAGCAGAACATCCAGTAAGACGTTGCGGACTTTCTGCCTCAATTTGTCACGTAAGACTCACTCTGGCTTAGATGGACTGATTGGCAGCTTGCCTTCAGATGAACATCTGCCGAGAAGAATTCAAATTTACACTAATTTATATTTCACAAAATATGGAGAAGAATGCAGTAGAGGAATTGAAAATAATGATAACTCTGAGGTCTGAGAGACTTACAATCAAGTTTCCAACCTGGGACAAATCTTATTCCCACCGCTAGGACTCAACCTCTGGCAACGGCGAAGTATGATCTCACCTAGCAGAAGATATGTGATCTCCACTCTTGCCGCCGGGATCATTGTGTGCTTGGCCTCGAAGACACCCTCACTAGGTACACCTTTCATTGATCCTCTTTCAGGATGGTTATCTATACGAACAGAGCAAAAAATGTAAAAATTTTCGGACACTTGATAGGACCAAGGATGTTCCATCACATGCTGGGACTAGGGAGACGTGTTCTATTCGCGCAAGAAACTCTTATCGAAAATCAAGCCAATTGGAAAAAGGGGTTAC